CTGAAAGGATAAAGCAACAAAAATAGAAAATTCTAATTTCATCGAACTTATAACAACTTCCTTTCAGTTTGCTGGATTTGGTTGATTCACATATTTTAAAATCAATAGTTGGTAGCGGATTATCATGATTTTTTATAGTGAAAAGTTTTTACGAAGTTTAAGAAATACTTATCGGTAAAGTAGGGAAAGTGATTTTGAATTTTCGACGTAATTAACTCCGTCATAATTAACTCAAAATCTACGTATAACACAGAAGTAGTAATTAATTATATGTAGAATATGTTTAATATTACAGTGTTGTATTTGAATAAATCAAATTACCAAAACACATTTCATGTGATTCTAGTGCTCTAAATTACAGACACAATCTAATTAATGTACACAACTTCCGTTTTCAGTATGTCATGATGTGGAGATTGATTTGTGTGAAAACTACGTCAAAGAAGGATATTGTCACTTTGATGGTTGGACCAAATTAAATTGTCAGTATTCCTGTAACCTTTGTCCATCACCAGATGTTGTCAAAAGACAAGTTGAAACAGGTGATGTGATGGCATACTTGGAAGCTTATCGCAAAGGCGATTGTTTCAATAGATATGATGATCTACGTTGTGAAGTATTTGCTGAACGTGGTGATTGTCGTACAAATCCTGGTTTTATGTCTAGTCAGTGTACGCAGTCATGTGGATTATGTCCAGACTTAGAAAATCGGCATCCAAATGTTAGTCATACACAGTCTTCTCATACAACACGACTACCAGCACCTTGTCGTAATTATATTGATGATCAACGGTGTGATGCCCTTGCTAAAGAAGTAATTTTTCTTTTTTGTGTTAGTTTAGAGTTCTGTTACATTTTTATTTAATTATATGGACTTTTGTGGTTGTTATGATGATTTTAGCTGAATTAAACGTTTTCTCTCAGTCCAACAGTATTTTGGTCACATTAATCAAAATGGTGTTTTCTGAGAAACTCGGGTACTTATTTTGCATCACACTTTCACTCTAGTTACATTTTATTCCACTTATTTTACAATAGATAAGTTAATTAAAGCTTTTTGAGATGGTGAAGAAAATTTGTAACTCACGTGGATCATTGTGGTGGAGCTTTAACATATATGTAATTAATATTTTTACGTAAGCTGATCGAAATGCCTGAAATTAGTTAATGAACTTGATATTTCATTCTGAGTAGGATTTCAGTTGAATATAAATAAAAATCTCGTCGTGAAACTGATGTCTAGAGTTCCTTAATTTCAAATAAATTCATATTCATGTCATGAAAAAAATTCTGCCTACAAATCACTTTATTGTAGAACGTTATTTAACTAAAACCAACTACTTTTTTCTACCTAAATAATAACTATACTTTGGTGTTCTGTTTAATAAGATGAAAACAATCCCAGTGTTTATATTGGTATACGTGATTGATATTGACCTTTTCTTATGGCAGATGAACTGTTAGACAAGTTCTCAATATAGAATACAATTCAGTGTACATATGTTGGGGATGTTAGATCCCCTAGCTTGTTAAATGCCTTATTTTGGTTTTCACGTTTGCCAGCATGGGCTGATCAGTTGACCTGGAGATTTCATTTCCCACCAGGAAAATCCATGGCTGTGATTGGCTGCTGTGTATTTTAGTGTACAATTTTTGTGACTATCCCAAGGACGTTTCTATGATGTATAAATAAACGAGAGTTGTGTGCTTGATTGTATTGTGATTGCTGGGTGTTTGTAGAATATACTTTCTACGCTTACAAAGCCTTTTGTCTTCAGCTTGGGATTCAAGGTAGCCTACCTGGACGCTGGTAATTGTCTCGTTCGTGTTTATCGACTAAGGTGAACTCGTAATAGCCTCAAGCATACCTAGTGACGAACCTTACAATATAAAATTTCAATGAGTTGTTTTGGAATTGTATTATCATTTTAGGGAAAATGTTTTGGAACCACATTAAAACAATGTCTTGGTTCGTGTAATAAGTGTGGTGATAATTATCAACGTCAAACAACTGAAGCTCCACGTACTACGACAACCAATATTATTATTAATAACAACAATAATAATAATTCATTATTATCAAACGAATGTGAAGATCAATCATTATTATGTTCATATTATAAAAATACTTTAGAATGTAAAACGAATAAAATTATTATGTTAGAAATATGTCCTAAAACTTGTGGATCATGTGAAAAAATATGTGAAGATATCGATTCATTTAACATATGTAATGATCTTGTTCAACGTGGTTTTTGTAACCTATCAAAAGCGCATGCTCAACGATGTAAAAAAAGTTGTGGTATCTGTAAAGAAACCAAATCTTTTGATGTGAATTTACCCATCTCCAAAAATGTTTCTAATGGAATTGTGTCAAAAGGAACAATTAAAGTTAATGAGACCATTTTTAGCACTACTCCCACTGCATTTATAACTAGCAGTACTACAGTAATACCCCAAACAAACTCTATCACTTCTCCGACAAAACGTAGTTCAAATGGCTTTAAAATGACATCAACAGCTCCTAAAAGTGAAGAAATCTCACAGGAGAAACTATCAATGAAACCTAAATTTATAAGTAAGAGAACGTATTCACCATCAAAATGTAAGTCATTTATGATGTTTTCATTTTTTTATCAATAAATCCAAAATAACACACGTTTAGTAATCAACTGTTGAAATGTCAATACTTTTACATACTTTAATTACAGCTTCAATGATCAATAAATATTAAATTAACTGAATTTGAAAAGATAAATTTACGTTGGTTAGATAAATTAATTTTATGAAAGAAAGTCTTATATAATTAATAACGGTTAAAGAAGTGTTTCCGAGGTTCCTCAAGTTACCTTATTATCCATTTTAACAAAACAATTAGGTTGAAATGTAACGTTGAACAAAAAAATGATCAATAAACATTTGTTTATGGTGAATAATGCGCATAAACTGACAACATAAAATCTGTCAGCTTATTCAATATAAATTAGTTCAACATAATATATGAAATGACTAGTTATCGCTTAAATTCGATAGCAAGGATAACATATGTGATTAGACTGGATTTTATTCTTGAATTATAAATTGAAATTATTTTTAAAACCTAATATTTTTTAAAATATATTTCATTTTATTCAATGATAATACCATCTTTTAGAAATTTAAATGAGTTTATTTGTCTTCTGTCCACTGGGAGTTATGACAGTAATTACTATATAGCAGGTGATTTAAGTAACTTGGAATTACAGACTTTGGTGATATTATGATATTTTTCATTGTGACTATACATATATTTAAATGTCAACTTCTGTTCTATAGATTCTAATGATAAACAAGAATGTTCTGATCAATATCCAAAGACATCTTGTGCCGCTTGGAAAAAGACAGGTTACTGCAACTTTCCACATGTCTCACAGCTATGTTTACAAACATGTCATTTATGTGAAACTGTTGAATTGTTAAATAAATATCGACCATTGATAATTTAATTATTCTTTTAGTTGGTTCTCCTTGTATTTCCTAACTGTATCCCAGCTCTATTTCCTTTATCTTCCCATTGTTGTCTTTTTGCATTTAATAAGTATATTTTATACTAGTGACACTACTTCCAATATTAATTTTATTCCTAATTTTAAACACCATCTGTTTCTTTTTATAAGAAAAATTTATTAAAATACAATATGAGTTTTTTTTTCAATTTTTTAAACTGAAATTATCGGGTTAACAATTGTACAAAAGAAGACATTTTATACATAATTTTTAATGCTAACTATATGTAGATCTTCCCACAAAATAATGTAAATGGTACCTGGATAAGAACCAAAATAACCTGAATGTCAGATTGATAAATTATAACTAATTGCGAATAATGTACTTTTCATAGATTTTTTTTCTGTGACTCCAAGACAGATATCGTATTCCACTAGCTACATGAACTGTAGAACTGCTAAGATTGGTTTTGTCAGAAGCACATATATTAATTAGTATGAAAAGCAGATTTCAAACACTGCCGTAGATGTAATTTTCTTTGAACATAAAGACAATTAGTAAAAGTTCTACAAATGTGTACAGATACGTTTTCTATTAAATACAAAATACTGGAAACATTTTTAAAAATTCGGATTCGCTAAAATCACGTCTTTATTAAATTAACACCAAACTTGAAGATGGCATTGAGTTGGAGTATGTCTGAGAGAAACTAGAACAGATAAAATCAAGAAATATATGAACCGATGACTTAGTAGGTATATGAAATGAATTTATACCTAATAGTAAAAGGTATCGATCAAAATCATCATTGGACTTGAAAGTGACATTTTAACAAATTAATACTGAAATCGAAAAACTGATAGAATTGATTTGCTAATGCATTACACTTAATCAGTCCGTATATATCCGTACACTTTCTTTGCAAATCAAAAGTGTTTATAATAACACGTGGTTTATCCTCATGTCTAACAAACTGTCCCTTGTCTAAAAAAAATCAAATCATTTGATGAGTTTTTTTGCTTGATATTATTTTCATTATCTTTTCTATTTGAAGCTAAGCAGTAGGCTTAATTATACTGTATGTGATATATCCATTTAGATTGACATTAGTTTCGCTATTTTTGGGGTTAGAAAAATTCAAATCTAAAGTTTTGCTGAGACTTTTCGAATTAGAAGTCTTCAGTAGGTTATTTGAGTTGAAAAAGGTTAAAAGTAGTACCATTTTTAATTTTTCTGACAGTATCAATATAAACTTTTGCATAAGGAAGCGCATTGAAAAATACACTGTGACGTTTGCAAACAAGTGGATACAATCTACTGATGGAATAATATGTCAAACTCAATAACCCAGCACACTTGTGATACAAGTGAAGATGATGTCAGTAAAAAGAATATTTGAATTATTATTGACAAATGATTCCTCAAAAATTATCTCATGAAAAGCAATTTTGGTAGGTTTCAACTAGTATTTTGTAAAAAGCTGAAAATTCCTCTCTAATAGTCAGAGAAACATCTGACTGAATGTGTCGGTAAATATGAAAAAATGCCGTTTAAGTGAACTTCACCAGTAGCCGCTGTGGGGCTACTACCGATCCCAAGCACAAATAAAAGTGGAGGGTCAGACATGGAGTTGGACACCTCATTCCGTAGGAAAATAAATCACTAAAAAAACTTCTAACCAGAAAACATAAGTCAAACCATTTTAACTCTGCCTTCGGAGTCAGAAAGTTTTCGTTCAGGAGAATTATTACGTTTCATGATGAAAGCCAAGTTCCTTCGGAAGTCACAACGCCGATGCCGCTTCTGACAACTAGAGTAACCATCCTTTTAAGTACATCGAATATTCGTACAATGTGAGAGATTGGGAAGTTCATCCAAGTTGCTGCAGAGATGAAGAGATACAACTTGGAGGTGCTTGAAATTAGTGAGACGCATTGGAGATTGGCTTCAAGACAGCTGCTGCTGTACTCTGACCATGAAGAAGAAAATGCATCACACACACAAGGAATTGCATTGATACTGTTCAAACAAGCACAAAAGGCGTTGATAGGATGCGAATCTCACGGACCCAGGATCAACAAAGAAACTGGACATTAAAATGAACGTTATCCAATGCTGCACACCCAATAACGACTACAGTGATGGTGTTAAAGATCAATTTTACGAGAGACTGCAGTTATTCGTTGAGAAACGCCCAGCAAAGGACTTGACCGTTCTGATGAAAGACCTAAATGCCAAGGTCGGCACGGACAATACTGGATTTGAAGACATCGTTGGATGACATGCACTGGGAGAAAGAAACAGAACTACAAGGAACCAAACCGGTCAAACCAGACAACATTACAGCAGAGGCAATGAAAGCAGGTGTGGCAGCAACTACCAGAATATTCTAAATTCTCTTCAACAAAATTTATGATGAAGAACAAGCACCGACAGACTGGGGGTAATGGTACCCAATCAAAATACCAAAAAACGGCGATCTCAACAAGTGTGAGAACGACAGAGGCATCTCTTTTCTCTCTTCAACAGAGTGTTGTTAAACAGAATGAAGGACTTCGTAAAAGCCCAACAGGCTGAACTTCGTAATAAGCGATCGTGCACTGACCAAAGTGCAACAATACGGATCATTGTGAAACATTCAGTTGAATGGGATTCACCACTCTACATCAGATCCATTGACTACGAGAAAGCATTTGGTAGAGTGAACAGAACAAATCTCTGGAGGCTTCTTCGACACTATGGCATCCCTTGGAAGATTGTCAACATCATACGGAATTCTGATGATCGATTAGACTGCTAAATCGTGCACGGTGGACAGCTGACAGACTCATTCGAGGTGAAGACCGGTGTCAGGTAGGGTTGTTTACTCTCATCCTTTCTCCTGATGATCTACCGGATTATAGAGATGTAAATATCTGGAGGGAAGCACGGTATACAGAAGACAACAAGGATGAAGCTAGACGATCTGTGTAAGATCCTTATTTGAAGGTTTTGTTTGTGACGCCGGTCGGCGTCCTTCGCTCTATTGGGGGTAACAGGCGTAGGTAATTAAGTAAGTAAGCAATTCAAGTGGAAGTAAGTTTTGGGATTTAAAATGCACGTAACAAATGAAAAGAGTAGCGGCAGTTACAAAATCTTCGAACAGAAAGTAACTTCTGTTTACGACGCTTCTCCGGCTAGAGCTCGTAAACGATGGGATTTATTCGTGTAGGGGAAAATATTTATGCTTTGGGATCAATTTTAAAGATCCACTCATGATGTCTATATTGAAGGAAACTCCTTCACATTTCATTCGCTAATAACAACTACTGCCGTTCACGTTCTTTATACAAATTAGAAGGACAGAATAAAAATCAATTCACACGGCTTTTGGGGGTGCTGGATCCATTAGATCTGCTATGTCTAATTGGGTTAAATTTTCTGCTATAGTAAAATTGAATTTGCAGTGATAGTTTGACATCAGCGTTTTGAAGGTACTCGTATTGCGATTGTAGAAAGTAAATAGTCCAGGATTTTGCATGTAGTGTATCAAACAGTTTACTTGATTAACATGTATCACATACTCCTTTTGTAACAAGTAAAACATATTCGTTGCTAAGTGCCTATTAATTTTACAGTTCAAAAATTCATTTTTCTATCAACTAATTTAATATTTGTTTTTCTTTTTAAGGCTAACAAAGGTATTTTGCAATCGCTTCACATGTTGTCTAAAAAAATTAAATATGTAAGATCCATTTTGAAAGGCTTTGTTTGTGAAAATCCATCCATGTATACATTTGTAATATGTCTTTATCGATTCTTCCTGTTCTACATTTTGTCAAACAGTTCGATTCAATTTTTAGATGGCAGTATTTGTATTTTATTGTAGTTTCTATTTTTTGTGCTTTTACTGAGTTCTATGTTTCTTTCTGAACCGCATTATTTTGTATAAGCTGATACTTAGTTACGGCGACAGCCACACTGATTATGTTCTGCTGTTGGTTGGAGCGCTTGCACCGACTGGAAGTGTGTAATTTGGATTGGAAATTGGAGCACTCTTCCGGAATTGGAAACACTGTGTTATCATTCAAGGAATAACGCGGCAATATTGTTTAGAATAGTTACTTGTTTTGGATTTACCTGGGCAAGGCGAGTATCTCAATTACTTGGACAGTTATTTCTCAATCCAAACCTAGAAATAGCATATGGAAGTCATTGTAGTAGTAGGCCCATATACCCCTTTCCAGTTGGCAACTGAGTGTAATATGGTAGCCCCAACAATTTTATTAACACCACAAAGTGTGAGCCAGACTCACACCGGCCATATATTACAGGTGTTGAGACTCACCATCGCATTTGATATACGGTGCATATTACTTTACCAAATCTATGCGACTAAAGGGTCATAAAGCTGCTCTGAAATAAATAGAAAGTTGTAGGTGAGCAAGTGTCGGTGAGGGGTTGAGCAATATCATAAATCAAGCTTCAGATTTTAATGTAAGATCATCACAGTTGGCTCTCAGTGTTGGATGTGGAAACCTTGCAGATTTAGAAACGTTACAAAGAAGAATAACTTCACAAATAAAAGAAATATTACGGGTGGCAATCACGTTTTCAATTAGATACTCACCAGGCTTCACTGTAGTATGCAGGATATTTATATGAATATATTAAATTAAATAAATCCACCAAGGGGGTTGATAACTAGATGAATAATTCTCCATATCTTAAAATTGTGAAGTGGTGAGTTAGAATCCTGGATCACCCATTCAAATTTGTCGTTAACAGGAGTTCTAAAGAATATTTGAACCTCTGAATATCAGAACATTTGAATTTATGCGTGAGACGAATGGTGTTACAAGATGCTGCTACGTTGTTTATCATGTATCATTAACTGCTATACTTGAATTCGTATATTGATGACTACATGGAAAGCGAACTGTTACTAGATTATCTGAGAATAGTAGCGCAGAATTACTTTTGAAACGCACAATCTACCTCTACTTCATCTTTAATACCACATTATATGGATAGCCAATTGGAACAGCTGTAGTGGATGTTGGCTCACCAATTCTGTGACGGTCGTTATTCGAAATAATTCCTAAACTTTGTATACTGCTCCTCCTGATAACAAATACTAGATAATGCCTAACACTGTACCGATCAGAAGACGACATATACGACATATATACGTCCGAAAAAGAGTCAGTCATCGGATTATTTAATAGGCTAACATTAAAGAGAGTAGAATAAAAATGCACGTGGGTGGTAAACAATGCTCAAGCCTAAATGCTCATACAAGCATGATTATAATAAAAGCACAATTATACATTCAAGTTGTTGTTGCACAAATAACTCTGTTAAATCAGCTAATCAAAATGTTCTAACCAAAATAAATGTATACAAACTCGAATGTATGTGAAGGTAATACAAGGCCATTGTTTCGGCTCCAGGTCTTATCCATGCTGATTGTAACTGGGTAGGATTAGAAAAGTGTCTATCCATCAGGTTGTTGTTAAGCTTAAACTTTACTACCGTTAAATCGATGATGCTTTTTTACCCTGATCAAAGCATTGGCAAAAATAGTTTAAGGTTACAGTAGGTGATCGCTGCCAAACATTGAGGGACATCATCCAAAGATATGTCCCACACAGTGAACCTAAGGCACACCAAATGCCTGGATAGGCAAAAACGTCGGTTAACCAAGGTATTGAACGCTTCGTAAATGTGTAAGGTTCCTCTGCAGGATTCCCACCGTAGTTCCTCCTCGGTATAGAGAAACAGATGGAATGCCAAAGTCCGAAGTGATAGGAGACACTACAGATGAAAATAGCCGTCTAAATGCAATCGAACCGAAAATGTCGGTCTAGGTCCATGTCTAAAAGTGAACCCACGAGCCATGTTGTTTGTGCTGAAAGGTCCAGATGACGAAAATCTGACCAGACTATATAGAGTACACGCGATTTGGCGCGTTCCGACATTGAGAGATTCACAGATGACCAATTCAGGGTCTACACCTCTTCCTGTCATTCATCAAAAACCTTTCAGATGAAGGTCGGCGGCACTGATCCACGCAGACGATGAGAAGGTCTGAGGGTGCAATTAAAACGATGAGGATTTGATTGAGCTTCAGAAGGACCTTACATCTATTGAGGAATGGGCAGTGAAAAACGGTCTAAAACTCAACCAACCGAGGTGCCACATCATGTACGCTCCGACCCACATGACGCGAACGATTTACACCCTCAATTTAGTCCGCTCCCTAATGTCTTATATGAGCGCAATCTTGGTTTGATAACCACAGAAAGTCTTAACTATATAGGGGACGCAGCTACGGCAAATGCAACTCTTCACTTTATGCGAAGACTAATAGGTGCTTTTACCCCAGAATTATTCTAAACACTATTCAAGACGTATGCGCGCCCACACCTGGATGTTGTCATCGCACCCCTTCTGCTTTAAAAGGACATAAATCTCTTGGATCGAGTGCAGAGATGAGCAACCGAATGGGTGATTGGGTTGAAAAATAAGCCTAACGATGATGGACTCAAGCACTTGGAATTATTCCCACTGAGTTACAGCAGAAGCAGGGGTATTCTAATTACGGGGTACAACACATTAAGCGCGCCAAATCATCCCAACATGGGCATCTTACCGATGCATCACCACCACTCACCTCGAGGCAATCCTCAAAAAATTGTTCATCAAACAGCGATTACTCAGGTTCGTGCACACTTTTTCTCATTGAGAGTCGTCCCGACTTAGAATGCTCTCTCGATCAATGTGACCATAACCCCTTCAGTGGACTGCTTTAAGAGGAGACTACTTCTTCATCTTCCTCGTAGACAAGATGTGACGAATGCACGTCTTGAGAAGTGCTGGTTGTTATGATTACCATCTCCTCAGATCAATAACTTAATCCATCTCGCCTATTATCTCTGTTTCCTCTCCCTTGCTTACACTTCAGTCCTCTTTCACAATGTTCACTAACAATTAATAAAAACTAAATTATCTACTTATTTACTCAGTCATGAAAATCTACTATAAGCATAACTAACTAATCTTCAGTCTGGTAATGTGATAGCTGCTGCTATCCAGAAGCCCTACTGCCCTGAAACAAACGTATTCATTCCATTCACGGGACATACAAACTCACAAACGACTTTCAGCTGACTAGAATTAGACAGTCAAGTGGCTAGACCCCATTCATTTAGATACGACAATACCTTGGACAGTACCGAAAGAACAAAAATGCAGTGCAAAGAAATTAACTGTTTTACACCAGCTCATGAAAAAGATATTGGATATAGTTGGCGCCAAGTTTACATCATTGCGTGTTTATGCTTTGTTGACTTGTGAAGGTCAGGTACTATGTGTTTTGTCATTTTAATTGGCAATCTTAAAGTCTCGCAGTTTGTGACTTAGTCACTCATATAGTTGACTGCTTGTCTTCAGTTTTGTTATTTAGGGATAGTTAATGATTTTCGACAATTTTAGAGGTTTACGAGACCTTTTATAGGTAAATTCGTAGGTTTTGGACAATATCACCTCTACTCATACGGTTGCAAGGAATCTTATTCTTGAAGGTCTCCAGCCAATTCCTAAATACTTTTGTACGTGGCAGCGTCATAATAGTGGGTCGTGTTTGTTCTACCTAGTGAGTGTATTTCTAATAAGCCGTGCAATGATTCTCCAGGTTGAACAAAGTACCGTAATTGATGTATTCACCCGTAGTGCCCTCATACGAATAAATTTCAAAGTTCGCTGTTAAAAAATGATGGCCTAAGTTTTCATTTATTAAATTTTTATGCTGAAGGTTACTTTTTTACTTATTTAGAAAGATTGCTGTGTTGAGTCAGGATTTGTTTGCCCTTATCAAAAGAATCTAAATAAGCTTGATTTATAACAGCCCTCGTACCTAAATATGTTTATCTTGGTAACTAGCGAGGAACACTTGGCGTCACCTATGTTCTTCCCTAGTAATATGTTGCTCTAAATTAGTTAAATTATCGTTTGACCGCACTCGTGTATACCATATCACATATCAAGAAGACGTTGTAAAAACGCTCTTTAGGAAGTATCATTTCTAACCAGTTCTGAAACGTCATCCAGTGTCTCTAATCACTGAACACAGTTTCTCAAAAAACCCCAAGCCAGTAGTCTGTGAATAATGACGTTGTGAGCTGATAGCGCGCTTTAGTTCGGCCATTATAGTTTGTTTCCAGCTCCTGCACTGGTTGAAAGTGCACATTGATACAAACCATAGTTGGCTATACTTAATACTTTTTCCACCGACGGATGTTGATTCACAACCAAGTTCAATCAAAATTGGTTGTTTGACATCCGTTATATGCTGTTCACATCTATTTGCATCCTACTCCAAATATCACTGTTTCTCATTTATTGATACCCTCTTCCCTGAAGTGTCGGTCTTTCATTTACTTATGGAAATCAGTATAATCGAAGTTGTAATATTTTCTATGCCAATTTCCAGACCGAGGTATAATCAAGCGACGATGAAGCTGTTCTCACTACAAATCCTTTATAAAACTGATACATCAGCTAAATTATTACAAGCTTCACATGAGCTGTCCAGCTTCGGTTATTTTCAGCGATCCAGTGTCAGAGAAGTGATGGACTTTGCTGCTAAACTAGTCTGTGAACGAACAGCTCGTTGCCAACGCGGACTTGTTAAAGAACAAGGTTTGTTTTGTGTCTGACATACGCAACTTATTTTTGTACAGATTATATTTGTCATGTTTATGTTCGACATGATAATCTATGCGGTGTACTGATTTGTGATCAAGAATATCCTCAAAGGGTTGCTCAGACGTTACTAACCAAAGTAAGTTACATAACGTACCACTCACTTCTCATTTGAATCACCTTTGAAAATTGATTTTCAGCCTAGCAGTCGAACTAGTTTTATCTGATTCGGTCTAATAAAATAACAACAGACTGTGTAGTCAGTTGTGGATTGAAAACTCCTGTATCTTATCTGTTCTGGTGAGCCTTAAATTCACACATAGGCTCATGGTGACCTAGCATTTCTAAACTTCATCTCATTGTTCTAAACATATATCATATGTTGCTTATCCCTAAACTGAAATGTCGAGCGCAACTCGGTTATCAAATAACGAATGAAAGAATTCATGGATCCGAGTTGTTGATAATTTCGTCGTATGATTCTCCTTCATAGCGTTTAGCATCGACCTATTAGAGTGTTAGGTCCGCACTAGATTTTCCACATGATTGTATAAATCTTCAGATTATGTGAATATTGGGAAGCGTTGCATGATGCTGCTACCCACCCCACCCTAACTTTCATTCGACCTACTCTTACAGCTCAAAATAGCTCAGCGAGGCAGTCGGTTGTTGGGCATTCGTAACACATGTCCCAGTCACTTCAACAGATGAAGTTTGAATACCTCAGTTATTGATCTACCTTCCTTAACTAGTACCCGTTTCCTAACAACAGCAACTCGATAGTTTCAGGAGTGATCGAATACTGGCAACCTACGAATATCCTCAACTCTTACCGGCCATGTTTCACAACCATATAGTAGGACGGAGCAAACTGCTGCTCAGTACACTCGTCCTTTACTTAGTGAACGGATATCTCGCCTACGCCATAAGTGACGCAGGTTGGCAAAAGCCAATCGAGTCTTCTGTATCCGTGCTGAGATTTCGTCAGTCAGTAGGCCATCAGCACTGACGAGACTCCCAAGATAAGTGAAGTGATCGAAACGCTCAACTACTTCACTCCCTATCACTACTCCAGCTGCCGCTGCAAACCAATCCTGAAGCAACATTTTGCATTTGGAGGGGGAGAATCGCATCCCGAACATGATTGTATTGTTACTTAAGGTGGTCAGAAGACTGCATTTCGTCAGCGTCTTCACCAAATAGAACTATGTCATCGGCATATTCTAAGTCAGCAAGCGATTTTCCTGGTAAAAGGTCCTCTCCTGAAAATTCAGACAAGGATAAGGTTATATCTGGAAGCAAGTCTATGATAAAGTTGAGCAAGAATGGGGAAAGTGGACAACCCTGATAAACACCACTCGAAGTAATCAGTTCCGATGACAGATCGCCATAAGCTCTCATTCGACCTATAGTGTTCGAGTATAGAGCTTGTATAAGGCTAATGTACTGCTCTGGTACACCTTTTAATGACAGACTGTCACAGAATCTCACGATCCACAGTGTCAAATGACGCTTCGAGGTCAATGAAGACACCTCTTGTCGGACGCCTAAATGTGTGTCCTTGTCCCAGGAACTGACGTAATGTGAAAATGTAGTCTATACAGCCACGCCCATCTGAAACCAGCCTGGTTTTCTCGAGTCTGCTTTTCACGAGCTCTGGTTAAGCGTCTAAGTATTATCGAGGCTAATAACTACACACTATGTCAGTTAAACTGATTCCTCTGTGATTGTCACAAGAAGACTTTTGTCCTTTATTATAAATTGGGACAATCAGAGATTGCGACCAGTCAGACGGGATTACGCTCAGTTCCCGAATTCTACCTAAGATCTCAGTCAATCTAACTGCTAAAACTGCACCACCATCCTTAAAAATCTCAGGGGTCAATCTACCAGGCCACACTGCTTTCCCTCTTTTTAGATTTCTTGTAGCTTTCTCAACTTCGTTAAGAATCGGAAGACTTACATCGATCTGCCATACCTGTTGACTGGGCAACCGAAGTATGGCTGTAGGCCATTAGAACTAATCCCTGAAGTGTTCTGCCCATCGATCCAATCTCCCGGATTGAGAATGAATAATAGTCGCATCCTTTTCCGAAATAGCATTACTTACAGTCAGATTCCCAATACCGATTTCCTTGATAAGTCGGAATAGTTGTCTACTGTTGCCTATCACTTCTGCCTTTTCCATCTCTCTCGCTTTCGCTACCCACTACTGTTCACGATCATTGCGTAGGCTTTTTATCAGCCTGTGTTTAAGCTAACTCCGCCCTTCGTCATGTTCACAACCGGACGGAATGAGTTTCCGAGCATCAATCAGTTCGGTAGATGCTATTGAAGTTCATCACTTCTCTGTAACTTTGGTTTATCTTGCTAGCAGATATCACTGCCGTTTCTACGGCTTTCTGGATGTCATTCCGAGCTGCCTCAGGGTTGGCTTCGCTTACTACATGGCTGCTTAACTGCTTTTCTAATTGTTACTGAAATGTATTATTAGTTTTGTTTTAATTAAGTAGAACCGTAAGAAGTTTCCATGCAGTGTCTTTCTTACGTCAAGAAAGCCTATAACTAATACGCACTCACACTAGAGCATGGTCTGAGTCTAAACAAGTGCTCCTGAATGACCGGCAGTTTTCTACAGAGCCTCTCTACTGATGGCTGTTAGCGATGTGATCTAGTTTGTTCTCTATGTGCCCAAGGTGAAATTAAACTGATTATTCTTCTCGCGTCTTGTTTGCGCATTTTGGACCCGCAACACGTATCGATGGCTCGGGATTCCAGGGTCCTAGCTAATGAAGCGTGTCGCCCTAATTGACACTTGGTTCAAACAATAAAAGCTATAGTATGTAGTTTAGAGCGGTGTTTCAAGAGACCAGGGATAATGTTTTGTGAGTTCAAAACGTTCGCTTCAGCAGTTCGAGGTGAAAAAGGTGCGAAAGAAGGTTTGGTCGTGGAGATGAGAGAGTTATTAGGAGGTGTAGAAAGGATTTGATTGTGACCGATTTTGTCTCGTGTGCTTTTACGGGTATGAGGGCGGACGTTACTTTCTAGCTGCTCACACCGTGGATGGGCTCTGGTTGTCGGAAGGGGCATCGACCTCTCGACTTCCGAAGGAACTCGGGATTCATCATAAAACGTCATAATTTTTCTAAGTAAAGACCTATCTCCCAGAGCAGATTTTGAATGTTTTGAATTATTTTTTCTTGTTAGCGTTTATTTAGCGAGCTGTTTTTCTTTGTGGTGGGGTTGCCAACCCCATAGACAACTCTTCTCCTTTATCCGGGCTTGGGACCGGCATTAGCCCCGGAGGGGCTCCAGACAGAACTTAGTGAAGTCAGTTTCAAGTGGACTGAGCCATGTTGGTAACTGTAGACTACCTGTTTGGGGTCCTCGAGATGAAAGTAACCTTGAATGACATGGCTCAAAATCGTTTTCAGTGGCGCAGATGCATCCACTCTTTGTGTTCTCTAAAATTCTAATTTTCTGAAATCGTCATCACTTCTATCTTTCTAAATTCATCTCATTGAATTACACTCCTCCGATCATATCTTTGAACCCTAATATCTGATTACTGCTAATACTTCTACTACCCTTACCACTATGGGATTCGAACTGACATTCGCGTCTCAGTGCTAATGTGGTGTAGCAACCTGAACTGATGTTCGTACCTACGAAGTTGTACGTTGTAACTGACTGACTGAATATTAGGAAACGTTACAGCTAATATGAGCCACTACAGTTTATGTTTGAGCTGTTAACATTGAAAATTAGTCCAAACGCTTAGGATTTTTTCCCAATCCTAACTGAATTTATTAGTTGATTGCCCTGAGATATGATTTCTTTAGTATTCGACATTGTAGTATTTGCTCATCTATTATATTCTAGATCTGACGTATATCTTTTATATTCTTCTTCGAATCCTAGCCTAACGTTTTTTAAGGAAATGTCCGTATTTTAATTTCGTTGAAATAAATATACTTCATGTTCAATAAATTCAAAAGACTTTTATCATTTCATTAAATTTTCTCTTAGGCCACTGAAGATTTCTCAGCCCAATATCCCGCTGCCACTTGGCCAAATATAGCTGATGGGTAAGTCAACATGCCAACGAGTTCCTTTAGTACAGGCATTCGCTTCCTATTCATTTTCATTGTATTATCTTCGTATACTATACTAGGACTTAGTTATAATTTTGCTTTTTATGTAGTGTTATGATTCACAGTATAACTTATCCATTACATACAAAAGCAATGAAAGTTTGACATATATGAAATAAAGGTTATCTACCTGGTTTGCAATACTCCATTGCATTCTATTATGTAGTGTAAACAGTACTTGTACATTCTTTATCAAGCTACACTAAACTGCGAAGACGATTAAAAGTATTGCTCAATTAGTGGTCTGAATTTTTATTCAAATAAATATATAGTCACTTATTTAGTTTTTTGGCTAGTTAGTCTCGTTTTACTTTAGACCTAACTTTTTAGATATATTAGTAAATAGTTAGTATTGATCGTTAGCTTTTGGGGTTTGAGGCTAAGGGCATATAATAATTTATCTATTTAATAAAATAAAGATGATCTTAGTATTGTAAATATTTCCAGTTATTTCTCTTTGCTGACTAACGAAGCTGAAACCCCTGTCAGCTTACTCACAGTGATTATTAGGAGCAGAACATCATTCAAGTTGCAGATTATTATCTTAGTGTACTCTTTTTTTTCAAAAATCGAACAATTTATTTGTGTCACACTTTGTTTTCTAATTTTCAAAAACAAAACTGGTAGATCAGCTTCATGTAAAAAAATCGATGAATATCTTCATGAGTATCAGAATCCCAGTCAAGCAGATGGTTTAATGCGGCTTCAAAATGAATTGGATGAAACTAAAGTTATTTTAGTGAGTTTCACTTCAATGTTTGTCGTTCTTTTTTACCTGCCCTTTCGTTCACTTCAAGCAATATAGATAACGGTAATATAATTCTTTGAGAAAGATACTACATGATGGCAATATTTTATTATTTTTTCTTGACCAGAAATAGTGTAAATGTTTATCAGCAACATTCATCATCTTGAAAACAATCTTGCTAGTTTTCTGTTCTGTTCAGCTGCCATGAAATGAACGTTTTACTTTTGCTGTTTTTACTCCCACAGGCTTAATCAAGTGGTTTATTTAAAATGACTTATTTGTGTATTTGTATGAACCTCTTGCTTACGATCCAGTCGCTTATTGTAAGGTGGGTTAAGATTTCGTCAGTTTTAGGACTAAGAACAGTTGGTAGTTAAAATAAATCTAAATCCTATCCTAACATCCTATTTAGTTTGGCACTCATGTTCATTGACAGAGTTTACTGAATTCATTACTAACTTGCGATTAGGACTAATCACCATCGTATAAGCAATCAATTACCATTTAGGTTTCAGTAATATTCCTAGATTTACATTGTATCAGTCCAATTTCAAGTTATTAAACTTGAATATTGATTGATTGATTGATTGATTTCGATATAGTCAATATGTATCTGTAATATTGATTATTTCTGTTTAGTTTTGACGTATGCACAACAAAATAAAATATTATTCACCACTTTCATACTTTCGATTAGTTTTGCAGTTGTTTTTTTTGCACAATATTGAACAATTTAATCGGCATACATGTTTGCGAGGGTAGTTACTTATATACTGTTTTATATTATGCTATATTAAATATTCATATTCTTTGTCCATGTTTTTTTCTTGGTAATTAGGATAGATATTTATAAATTTATGAATAAATACTTTGTTTAAATAATTTTTTAGTATTCTGTATTCGTAGTGTTGTAATGTAGACCTAGTGTAGGTAAAGCTTCTGAAAGAAGGGATTAGTAAATCACGTGTTACTAGCCATCTGCCTAAATCGAAGTAGGTAGAGCGCGCTTCGAGCGAATGAATAGAGAAAAGATTTGTTGTTTTAGGTGTAGGTCATTCTAGTTGCGCTCAAAATATATCAAAATTAATTTATTCGTTTCTTGTTACGGTTTGATTGCATTTGGGATATTAATCACAACGTAGGAGCACTAGTCGACCGTTTCGTCCTAATATAGCCCTCCACCGCATAGCTCCTCATAACCTCTACGGTTATTAAACTTCAGTGGTAAATGAAGTTAACAGATTCACATACAGCACAGAGTATTGATACTTATATATTATGATTAATTACAGTTCAACAGATTATTTCAGCTAACGGCACACTCAATGAAACTAGCTAAGTAATCAGTTCACTTATGTTTAGTCTTAGTACAAGTTCTTGTTGATTAAATGTAAAAAAGTACGGATGTAAATTCAGAAAGATTAATGGGTGTCCGTCAACTTGCGTTACTTGTGATGGAGTTTAGGTATCCGTTTACCGACTTAAGAGTGGGTATACTGCTTAGCAGTTTGCTCCATTCTAGTTTATGGGCATGAAATATAGCCGTCAAAAATAAAGCATAATTTTAGGTCACTAGTACTCGATTCACCGCTTGTGTATTTTCGGATTATCGAGTTAGCGATGCCGTCGGGCATAGACTATTAGGTAAAGATAGTAAATATGTTGATGAAGTAGTGAATTTGTTACAAGTAAGATGGTCGGGAAATTTTCTACGTATTCTCGAAGAAAGTGTGAGATCCCGTGCCTATTCATGACAGCATTAGGACTAAGTCATGTTACTAGGTAAAGACTTCCTTGTTCGGCTCCTCGCTACTGTCTTAGCCAACGGCTAAAGACTTTAGGTCACATGATTTAGAATATTTTATGGTGTTTCTGGAGCTTTCACTTCTAGTTTTCGTTTGAACCTTGGAATCTTATTCCTTTGTTTCTTTTTTTCTTTATTTAATCTTCTCAACTACTACTGTTACTGCTACTACTCTGCAATTTGTTGTAAGATGATTTTATTTTGCTGTGCTAATTTGATATGGCAACCTGAACCGATGCAGGTGTCAGGTTCTACGTTGCGTATGATTTACTAACTGAAGCTGGCTGAGAAGAAAAAGATTAAACAGTCGTCGACGGTTCAGTTGACGCACAATATACACTTGAGTTCAGTAACGACAGCAATTGATTATAGATATCAACATATATGCACAAATGAGTGTTATACAGCTCTCTCTCTCTCTCTCTACAAAAGTGATAACGAGGTTAGAAATCATTTGTTAAAATTGATTGAATAGAAATCATTATTCTTTCAACTGATACCGCCACAGTTGGAACTTATCAGAATATTTTTCTAGTTAATAATTATTTGAACATCGTTCTCAGCGTTTTCTTACACATTCCATTGCAATTAAAAAAGAATGTTTGGAAAGCTGAAATCTAAGTTTGTGCAATAGTTCAGAATCAGCAAATAATAATAAAATAAATTCACTGATGAGTCTTAAAATTTAGTCAAAGCACTGCTACCAGAGTTTTTAGTAAGTTCTGTAGTTTTAAGTTTTGTTTGATTATCTGTGGTTTTTCAGTTAAAAATGTACAGCACATTTATCTAACCAGTCCTCCTAAGTTACATATAAGATAAACTAATAAAATCTCTGATATTTGCAGTGGTCAATCAATGAATTACGTGAGTAAATAGAATCTCATCGTTCGAGTCATTAACAAGGTTTCAGTCTTGTAGGGGGAATAAAAACGTAGCTTCCAAAAAAACAAAAAAGACAGTTAAAAAACCCATAATTAACATCGTTGTATCCGTTTATTGCCACCGTAGAATACAACATCACTTTGGATTTCATTAGTGGTTGAGTAGTTTACAAAGCATGTGTCTTACAATGTAATATGTTTAAACCATGTTTGTGCTAATCTTTTGTGTTGAAGTGTGTTATTTTATTAAAAACCTTGTTTACTGATGAGTAATTCACTCCGGTAAATACTTATCGCTCAACTACCTGGTTGGGGTCCGCGAGATGATAATAATCGATGGTTAGAGACCTTGAATGACATGGCTCAAAATCGTTCGCAATGGCGCCGGTGCATTTATTCTCTGTGTTCTCTCAAATCCTAATCTGGATTCTTCAACACCTCTAGTTTGACTTTCTAAACTTTTCTCACTGAATCATACTTTTTGAATAATATCTTCTAATCCTAACCTCTCCGATTACTTCTAATACCTTTACTACCTCTTCTACTATTGGATTTGAATTGACGATTACTTCTCTGTGCTGATGTGGTATGGCAACATGAACTGATGTACTTATGTACAAAGTTCTACGTTGCATCTGACTGACTGACTGACTATCGCTCAACCATAATGTTTTATTACTTATAATGTTAGTTATGACAAAGTTACATAAATAAAAGTTTAAAAAGAATTATTTGCCGCATTCCGTACTGGGCATAGTTCATATTAACTCAATGCAAAGAATATTATATCTTAAATGAACATCATTTTTAAGTAAACCTAATGTTATACTGAATAAAATATCACACTTAAAATAAAAGAAATTTTATTCTGAGTAATTATCCTACTGAATTAAAACGGAATTGATGTTCAAGAAAAATCCTAGTCAAAAATGTTATTTGGCTTTTCATCTTATTGTATCACGTGGCCTTTTTTAAAGAACTATAGGTGAGTTTTATCAGGGTTTTCGCCTGCCATCTAATATAGCTAAAAATTATTTTGAAAACTGTATCCGTGACCACATTTTGATAAAAGTTAGGTCTTTTTGTAGGCATTTTCCTCCCCCACAAAACTATTTTGGATCTTCGTATACCTACGATACGAATAGTATGATTTGATTATATGTGGGTTTGCAGGCATGCGAATCTCTTATGTGACGTTTCATATTGAACTCCAAAAGGCAGGCTTCCACTCGCGAACAACTCTTATTTCTCCACATGTGTCTTCGTTAGCATGTTCTGTGAACGTGTGTCACAGACCACCAATCAACTTCCAATGGGATGGCGAATAAGGGAGCATTGTGAAAGACATATTACAAATAATGATCACCGATACACACTAAAGGATCCACAAATACCAACGCAACATGGATGAACAAAAAAGAAAACTAGGGAGAATACTCACATCAGAACATTTAACAACACTAACAGTGGCGTTCTTGATGTTAAGCAGATAACACATAGAACAAAGTATAAACATCCTCAAACATAAACTAATCAAGATTTCAAAGTCACTCTCAGAAGAAAAGTGAAACAATTCTTTGGTCAACCTGTCGAAAGAACACTTAACGACAACAAACTAACACTTTCCAAAAGGATTAAACTACAACACAAATGACGCTTCGAAATTCGAATTCGTTGCCGCACAAGAGTCATCACTCAAAACGACCGGAATAAACGAAGAAACTCAACAAGAAATAAGACAATCCATAGTACCACTAACTCGGAGGAGGCGAGACAACAAACTAAGAGCATAACAACGAAACGCCTTAAAGAAACTCAGAACCATGGAAGATATTGTCATAGTTCCAGCGGACAAAGGACGCACTACAGTAATTATGGACAAGGAAGAATATATCAGGAAAGCCGAGGAACTACTTGAGGACAGAAGCGTATATAAACCAATGGACATAAACGCAACAAAAAAGTCAGATCGCCGAATCTCAAGGACTCTAAACAAGCTTGTTAAAGCGGGACAGAAATCAAAATAAGATCAGTGGAGAATAAAATCCACTGGACCTGTAATTCCACAATTCTACCGTAGGCTGAAACTGCACAAAACGAACATCCCTCCGTGGAACCCGAACATACAACTTATCAAGAGGAATTTCAAAAATATTAAAACATTTGATGGATGAATCCAACTACTCTATTAAGTCTTCCACACAACTGTTGAGTAAACTGAAGGGGATTCAAATCCATAATAACGAATCGATAACAGCCTTATTACAGCGTCAGTCATACCAGTGATCAAGCCAAAAACGTGGGTTCACTATGTAGACGATACATTCGTCATTATTAAAAGGAACAAGCTGCACGACTTCTACAATCGGATCAACGTCTTTGATGACATAAAATTCACAATGGAAAAAGAATCGAACAACAGTCTATCATTCCTGGATATACTAATCACCAGAACTGACACAGGAAAACTGGAGACTCAAGTATTTCGCAAACCAACTCACACAGACCTAATCCTCAACTACAGTGGCAAGAACTCAAAGTCAACTGCATACAAAGGTTATTCAAGAGGGCGAAGACCCACTGCAGCACACTTAAAGCACAAAAAAAACGAAGAAAAATATCTTATGACCATCTTCCAAAAGAACGGCTGTCCACGCAACTTCATCAACTAAAATCGTCAACAGAGGCGAAATGGAGTACAGGAGCCAATAAACGGATCATTCTGTCATACATAAAAGACATATCGGAACTAACAGCCTGACTACTGAAATCATTTGGAATAGGTGTAGCACACAGACCAGCAGAATCACTTCAATCAGTCCTATATAGACCGAAAAAAGGAAGAAAAACCGAATATCATCTACAAAATAAATCGCTCAGATTGTGACAAAAACTACCTAGGATAAAGTGAACGTCCTCTTCAGCCCTGTTTGCGTGAACATCAGTTAGCAGTCAGACGCCACGACATTTCTTTCCTTATATCAATACATACGAACAACTATGGACATACGTCCGACTGGAACAATGTTAAATACTGGGTAGGGTAAGCACAAAGAAAACTAGAATCTTGGTCAATCAGCAATCAACGAACACATCGACATTGACCCAATCTATCAGCCAGTCAGAAAATTCACAGATTGCACATTCTGTTTCATGCAACACTGGGCTTCAGTTTACCATAAGGCATGTTTCCGAAACCTTTACTGAACTACTGGAAGTGTTGTATGCAAATAGTCTTGCATCGTTTAAATTACTGCTAGTCATTGATTCATGCAGCCTTTCAAGTGTAAGTGTATATTTGTTCATCGTACAGACACCTTCTATTTCAGTACGATAATGTAGAAATCAATTCCTGTCATATGTTCCAAAAGTGGCAATAATACTGCAACCAGTACACAGTTTTTATGTATACTCCAACCGACTTTTACAGATCTGCTTTTCTGCTGCAACACGGTTTTAACAGTTAAGGATGTTTACATGCAGTCACACCTTTTTCAAAATCCCGGTCAACAAATGTAAATTTAAAATAATATGGATTATCTTTTTTTATCGGAGCAGCTATTTACTAGTGCAGGATGTTTTTCCTCTTTCAGTTACAAATCTATGACCCACCATATTTCAATTTTATAACTACTGTTGCAGCTTTTCTTATTTACCAAAATCACCTTGTCAAAAATGGAATTCGCCTATTCAGTCATTTCACTCATAAAATTGTGAATTACATTCACTTCCCATGTCAGATGATGTGGGTTCGCATTATTATGTTTTCTTTTTGCAAATCAGTTGCTAACAATTTTAAGTTGTTTTACTGGTAGACTCTAAAATTTTTATTCCTTTGTTTTATATTTTGATGTCTGCTTATGTAAATGAGTTCATAATATACTGTTAATTATTTGTTATATACTTGATCACGGCTACTGAAATAGTGTGCGTCCAACTTTATAATTCGGCATATATTTATCATCTGAAGTGTGGGTTTTCGATATTGTTGATTTAAGGTAGATACTACTCCCCTGTATATTCTCATTTGTATTTTTTTCCCAATAGGTTTACACCATATTATTTCGTTTATCTAACATAATAATTATGTACAAACGTACATAAATTATATGCTTTCTAAAAAGCCACTATGTGTCTATGGCCAGTGTTATTAACTTAGATGAAACTAGTAAACATACTCATAAATCACCATGGTATACATATAACGCTAGAGAAATATTTCATTTAAAAAGAACTGTTACAAATATAAATTCACTTTTCGAATATAACCAGATTCACAGTCGAAAATTCACTACGCTTATCGGTTAAGGTACACTAACAACGGCAATTGTGTGGACAGTTAGTGAGTTCACCGTTTGACACATTACTTGAAGGTGGACGGCATCCTAATCGAATGAGTTGTTATTGGTTGAACTTCAGTCCTACTCTTAGACAATCTGACTTTGAATGCCTAAATATTCGTAAATAATTTCCTGAATTAGATGATAATTGGCCTGCATCATAGTACCAGTACGCATCAATTACAATCATTGACTGTAAAATTACCTTATTTCAACTGGAAAACCTTTCTCTTTTCAAGTATATATTATGGTTTTCTTCATTCTTCTTAATATTTTTCAGCATAATACATTAGAATCATTATTGTCTAGAGGTGAAAAACTTGATGATTTAGTTGAGCGATCCGAAGGTCTTAGTTTGCAGTCAAAAATGTTTTATACCACAGTAAGTTTTCTATTGATAAACTTGTTATTATTGTTTTCCTTTACATGAGTTTGTGAAAAGTATATTTGTGTCATTCATTTCATAAGTAAATGTATATAATTGGATTAAGTTAAATCTTTACGAAACCATTGGCTTACGTGGTCTGCTTTTCTTTTCTAAAAGTTTGATAGATATACGCAGTGCACTTAATATGTCTTTAGTCACAGTGAATTAAAAATGAAACCTCTCATATAATCCCTTCGGTACATCAGTTATTTCAAACAGGTTTAAATAAAAATATTAGAAATTCTGAATTAGTTATGCAACCAGTGTATTCCAGACCTTGTAACTAGTAATTTGAAAGTCTGGTTTTGCATCTCTATATTGATTTATGTGCATTCGTGAAATTTAGACGGGATATACTAATTTTTATATGAATAGCTTTAAATTATCTGTGGTTTATTACCTGTAATTTAGTAATGCATTAATTATCACATTTTTCATGAGAAATCAAAACTTATAAATATTGTGAAGGTTATTGTGGTCTCGTCTTTTAAATATTTCTTGACATTAAATAATTTCCATGTTCATTCATAATGATTTTTTTTCATGGTATTCGTCCATCAAGCGACTTTGCATCTGTTATTATTTTGTATATTCACTAACTTTATTACAGAAATGGAAAAAACTTGTTTCGCCTGTGATATTGACCTAAATCGTACTATTTTTCTTAGTCAAATGTAGGACGACAAAGAATTGTCGTCCATAGTTTATTTGTAGAATGTTTCATAAAATTATAAAGAAAGCTTTTTATTTTGATATTGATTTGACGCGTGTGAAGGTTACAACGCCTATCTACTACACAAAAGATATAAAAGTTTTCTTGAGATACTATCTCTTGAATCTTAGTATGTTTACAACCTTCTTGTAAAACAAGATGTGGTTTATCATTTCCAGTTGATATTGTGTATCTGATTATAAAGCAACATTTTTAGCAGTTCGGACTATATCAACATAACACCATACTTTGGTAATTTTCATTCAGCATATATCTTGTCATTTAACGATTTCTGCTGAGATTGTTGTGCTGTTTTGAGTATTCAGTTATCACTGTTTTGTTTCGTCCCTATACCTTTTTCAAGGAAAATTTAATCATTATGGAAACTAGATGATTTATTTATTTCGTTCATGACTCTATAGAATATAAAAATTTTGACGTAGCGAATACACACTTACCTGCATAGAATTATCTTATGAAACGAAAATTGCAATATTATCTCAAATAATTATTTAATAAAACGTTCGATGATGTATTTGAGTAATTTTTATTAGCAAACCAATTTTCGTTATGCATAGGTGAATTAAATTCATTTTGACTAAAATCCGGTTAATAATAACCAAACAATAATCCACACGATCTTATTAATATTCATTTTTAACTGCGCTTTGAAAATAAATAGTAAAGCATCTGAAATCACAAACTCAGTCAGTCACTTACAAAGTAGAACTTGGTGCGTACCCACATCAGTTCAAGTTGTCAGTCAGTCAGTCAGATGCAACGTAGAACTTCGTACGTAAGTACATCAGTTCATGTCGCCATACCACATCAGCACAGAGATATAATTGTCAATTCAAATCCAATAGTAGAAGAGGTAGTAAAGGTATTAGAAGTAATCGAAGAGATTAGGATTAGAAGATATTATTCAAAAAGTATGATTCAGTGAGAAAAGTTTAGAAAGTCAAACTAGAGGTGTTGAAGAATCCAGAAGGTTCGGATTTGAGGGGACACAGAGAATGGATGCACCTGTACCATTGCGAACGATTTTGAGCCATGTCATTCAAGGTCTCTAACCATCGATTATTATCATCTCGCGGACCCCAACCAGGTAGTCGACAACTACCGACATGGCTAAGTCCACTCGTCAATGACTTCATGGATTTCTGCCATGTTTTGGTCTGGCCGCCCCTAACTTTCTTCCAACCTATTCCTACCCTACAAAACAAAGCTCGACGAGGCAGTCGGTGGTTAGGCATACGCAATACATGTCCCAACCACCTCAACTGATGAAGTTTCAGTACTTCATTTATTGACCTGCCATTCTTACCTAGCACCCGATTCCTAATAACGGCGTTGCTCACTCGGGTGTCCCACGATATGCTAGCAATGCTTCGAAGACACCTATGATCGAAAACCAGTAACCTACGAATATCTCCTACTCTGATTGGCCATGTTTCACAGCCATAAAGTAAGACGGAGCGAACCACTGCGCAGTACACTCGTCCTTTAGTCAGCAAACGGATATCTCGCCTTCTCCATAAGTGACGCAGGTTGGCAGAAGCCAATCGAGCCTTCTGTATCCGAGCTGAGATTTCGTCAGTCACCAGGCCATCGGCACTGATGAGACTCCCGAGATAAGTGAAGCGGTCTACACTTTCGACTGCTTCACTCCCTACCACTAGTTCAGGTGCCGATGAAACCGAATCTTGAGGCAACATTTTGCATTTCGAGGATGAGAACCGCATCCCGAACATGCTTGCATTGTTGTTTAGGGTGGTCAGAAGACTCTGCATTTTGTCAGCGTCTTCACCAAGTAGGACTATGTCATCGGCATATTCTAAGTCAATAAGCGAGCCACCTGGTATAAGGTCTACTCCTGAAAATTCAGACAAGGATAATGTTATTTCTAGGAGCATGTCTATGATAAAATTAAACAAGAATGGAGAAAGTGGACAGCCCTGACGGACACCTCTTGAAGTAAAGAATTCCGTTGACAGTTCGCCATAAGCTCTCACTCGACCAGTGGTGTTCGAGTAGAGTGCTTGTATAAGGTTAATGTACTTCTTTGGTACACCTTTCAATGACAGACACTGCCACAGAACCTCACGATCCACAGAGTCAAATGCCGCCTTAAGGTCCAGGAAAAGAACTATTGTAGGACGCCTAAATGTGTGTCTATGTTCCAGGACCTGTCGTAGTGTGAAGACGTGGTCTATACAGCCACGTCCAGGTCGAAAACCAGCCTTGTTTTCTCGAGTCTGCTCTTCACGAGCTTTCGTTAAGCGTCGAAGTATTATTGAGGCCAATATTTCAGATACTATATTAGTTAGACTTATTCCCCTGTGATTGTCACAAGAAGACTTTTGTCCTTTCTTATAGATTGGGACAATCAGTGATTGAGACCAGTCGGATAGGATTGCGTCCAGTTCCCAGATTCTACCTAAGATCTCAGTCAACCTAGCTGCTAAAACTGGACCACCATCATTAAATATCTCAGGGGTCAGTCTATCAGGACCTGCAGCTCGTCCTCGTTTCAGATTTCCTAACGCTTTCTCAACGTCATTAAGACTAGGGGGACTTAGATCGATTTGCCATTCAGGATGACTGGAGATCGTGGGTAACCGAAGAGTGGCTGAAGGCCAGTTGAACTGATCCCTAAAGTGTTCTGCCCATCGGTCCAGCCTCCTAGATTGAGAATGGATAATAAGACCATCCTTTTCCGAGATAGTCTCACTCACATTCGGGTTCTTAATACCAGTTTCTTTAATAAGGCGGAAAAGTTGTCTACTGTTGCCGATCGCCGCTGCCTTTTCCATCGCTTTTGCTTTCGCCACCCACCACTGTTCGCGGTTGTTACCTAGGCTTTTTTCAGAGTCAGGTGGGATGAGTTTTCGGTCATCCATCAGATCGGTGGATGCTACTGAGATCCACGGCTTCATTCTAGCCCTATGGTCAACCTTACTAGCAGATATCACTGCTGTTTCCACGGCCTTTTTTATATCATTCCATCCTGCTTCCGGATGGGGATCGCTTAAATGGTCGCCTAACTCTGTTTCTAGTTGCTCCTGAAATATTTTCTTCGCCTTATTATCATTAAGTAAAACCCTAGAAGGCTTTCTTACGGTTTCTTTCCTACGCAGAGTAAGCTTCAAACAAATACGCGCTCGCACTAGGGCATGATCTGAATCTAAACATGTGACCCAGAACGAGCGACAGTCTTCTATCGAACCTCTCCATCGGTGGCTGATGGCGATGTGATCTAGTTGCGTCCAACGTTGAGACGACTTTGGATGTCGCCAGGTCAACAGATGCTTTTCCTTATGCCTAAAGTTAGTTTCTGCTAAGAATAGGCGGTTGTGTGAGCACACTTGCAACAGACGGTCACCATTGTCTGTTCTCTGAGCCGCGACACCATAACATCCACCTAGGTGTCTTTCATTTTCACTCAGTCTACTTACTTGAGCATTAAAGTCACCAGCCATTAATACTATATCAGAGCGCCTAGCTTTTTGGAGGAGGTCCGAAAGCTTTCTGTAAAACTCATCTTTTACATCGTCTGAACTGCAGTCAGTTGGGGCATAGGCAGATACGATGAAGAGGCACTGACGAGTGTCCCTATCTTTCCGAGTCCTTACTGACCCGTTTAGTCGGACAGCGCACAAGCGACTATCTACTGGGATCCAGCTCTACGACTCAATCCTATGCCTACGCCAGCAAGACCCCAGGAAGCAGCATCAGGGCGACCGGATACGCGAAGGGTAAATCGAGCTGCTTCTTTGTTTTGACAAGGTGAAATCAGATTATTAATTTTACTAGGATCCTGTATGCGTGTTTCCGAGACGCAGCATACATCGATGGCACGAGATTCTTAAGTTCTAGCTAATGATGCCTGTTGCCCTATTTGACACAATGTCCATACATTAAATGCTCCAACATGTAGACTAGAACGAGGTTTCAAGAGATCAAGAATGACGTTTCGTGAACTCGCATCGTTTGCATTAGCGGTGCAGTCAGATAAGGGAATGTGAGTAGAGTTAGTTGTGGAGAGAAGAGAGGTATGTGTGGGTGTAGGAAGGATTTGATTTCGACCTATTTGGTCTCGTGTGCTGTTACGGGTATGAGGGCGGTTGTCACTTCCCGGCTGCCCACACCGTGGAAGGTTGTTTCTTGACGGACCTGAAAAGGAAGATAGATTAGTGTTGGTCTTGGGGAACTGGGTGCGTGACCGCAGAGCCCAAGGGACAACTGCTTGAGGCCGGTCACGCACGGCCTTTTTATGAAAGGTATTTAGAGGATTAGCTCCGTTCTTAAAGGCCCTTAGTGGGCACCCTTACCCAAGGAGACGGAAATCCGTGAGGTACGGGAGGTGTGACATTTTTAGGGTCGACCTTTTCTAACCCTTCCTTCCTTGTGAGAAGGCAGCATTGCTGCAGATGCTGGTTATCCGAGGGAAACACCTTACTGCTGTCACACCCCTCTGCAGTCAGCAGTACGACTTCGCCCTCAGACCTTGAGTAGCTGCTTTTAGTCTCATCGTTCTCCGATCGACCAGCCTGGCATGGTAGGACCTGCAAGAACATATGTTCCAGCCAGTATAACTCGGTTGGGTCATCACGATAGGCAAGCCCTACCACTACGTCAAGGTGGCAGCTACGGTCGGGAGTTCAAGTTGTCAGACTACATTGGCACAGAGAGATGATACTGTTAGTTCAAATTCCATAGTAATAGAGGTTGTAGAAGTATTAGCTGCGCAGCAGTTCCCTCGGTCTTACTTTACGTTTGTGAAACATGGCCGTTAAAAATAAAGGATATTCGTAGTTTACTGGTATTCGATCTCAGTTGTCTTCGAAGCATTGATCGTATATCCGGGGACAACGGAGTAAGTGATTCTGATGTTAGATCAATGATTGAAGTAATGAATCTCCATCAGTTGAGGCGGTTGGGACATGTTAGGTTTGCTGCTGCGCAGTAGACTCATCCTTTAGAAAGCAGACCAATATCTCACCTACATCATAAATAAAGCCAATCGAACCTATATCTGTGCCCAGATTTTGTCAAACATTAGGACTGATGTGATTCCCAAGATAAGTGGAACGGTTAACACGCTCAGCAGACTGTCTTTTCCTGTGTCTTCACGAAACATCTGCATATTCTCAGTTAACAAGTGAATCTCCTGGTAGAAACTCAACTGAAAAGTCAGACGATGAGTGTGATCTCTAAAAGCATGTCCATGAAAAAGTTAAGTAAGAAAGGAGAAACTGGGCAGACCTGACGAACAATTTCATCAATCAGTTGCGATGACAGTTTCACCAGTTGTGTTCAAACAGAGTCTCTAAAGGGTTAATGTACTTCTTTGGTACATCTTTCAATGACAAACTGTCATACAACCTCGCGGTCAAAACAGTCAAGCGTCGCCATAAGGTTAAAAGATACAAAATGTGTGTAGATGTTCTTGGATCTTCTAAAGTGTAAATATTTGGTCTATATATCCACGTCCAAGTCTGAAGCTAACCTGATTTTCTGGAGTCTGCTCTTCACGAGATCTGGTTAGGCGTTGAAATATTATTGAAGTTAATATTTAAGTCACTTTGTTAGTTAAACTGATTTCTCTGTGATTGTCCTTTGTTATAGGCTGGGACAATCAGTGACTGAGACCAGTCAGATGGGATTACGTTCAGTTTCCAGATTCTAGCTAAGATTTCAATCAATCTGATTGCCAAAACTAGATCAGCGCCTTTAAAATTCTAGAAAGTTTCAGTGTCCAGTAGATGCATCTGAAACCAATCGAGTTTTCCTAACCTTAACTTACCGGCAGATATCACTGCTAATTCCATAGCTTTTCGATATGATTCCAAGCTGCTTCAGGATGGGTATCACTTACACGGCTGTCTAACTGTTTTTCTAGTTGCTCCTGAAGTTTATTCTCGTTCTGCTATGGTTAAGTAGAACTCTAAGGGGTTGCTGTTTCTTGCTTGCGTCCAATAAGACGCAGAAAAATATGCACCTTTACTAGATCATGATCTGAGTCTAAACATGTACTCCAGAATGAGTGGCAGTCTTCTATCGAGTTATTCCATCGGTGGCTGATAGCAATGTGGTCTAGTTAGATCAAGCGTTAGGTCGATTTCGGGGATTGCCATGTCAAAAGGTGTTTTTCCTTATGCCTAAAGTTGTTGTTTACCAGAAATGGGCGATTATGTGAACGTAGTTTCAGCAGACAGATGCCTTCATGGTTAGTTAGAGTGTAAGCAGAGATAACCAAGAGACAATTGAGAGTGTCCCTATGATACCGAGTTATCACTGTTCCGTTTAGTCAGACAGCACTCGAATGACTGGAATCTAGTCCAAGAGGGATGGTTCTGCTTTAGAATCTATACCTTCACCTGTGAGGTCACAAAAAATTGCAGTGGGGCTTTTAAATACACAAACCGTAAATCGCGACGGTTCATTAGTTTGATAAAGTGAGGTCAGATGAATTTCTTTACTCGTTTCCTGTATGTACACTTTTGAGACTCAGCATATAAGATTGGGGCAAAGTTTTAAAATCCTGTTGTCTTATTTAGTACAAGGTTCGAACATTTAAAGCTCAAACATGCAGACAGTTACAACACAGAACTTCGTACGTACGTACATCAGTTCAGGTTTCCATACCGCATTAGCACAGACACGCCATTGTCAGTCTAAATCACAATGGTAGCGGTAGTAGAAGTATTAGCAGTAATCGGAGATTAGGTTTCGAAGATATGATTCGAAAAGTATAATTCAGTGAGATAAATTTAGAAGGAAAAAGATAGAGATTATAAGGAATTCAGAAGGTTAGAATTTCATAGAACACAAAGAGTGAGGCACTTGCGCCATTGCAAACGATTTTAAGCCATGTCGTCCAAGGTCTCTGACCATTGGTGACTTACGTCATGCGGACACCAACCAGGTAGCCTGCGTCTACCAACATGGCTCATTCCATTTGTCAGTGGTTGCATGGATTTGTGCCAAGTTTTGGTTTGGCCGCCCATAGCTTTCTTCCAACCTACTCCTACACCATAAAACATAGCTCGTCAAGGTAGTCGGTGGTTGGGCATTCGTAACACATGTCCCAACCACCTCAACTGATGCAGTTTCACTACTTCATCAATTGATCTGCCATCCCTACCTAGTACTCGTTTCTCATGGTAGCATTGTTCTCTCGGTTGTCCCTGAATATACGAACAATGCTTCAGAGACACCTATGATCAAATACAAGTAGTTTACGAATATCCTATACTCTCACCGGCCATGTTTCGCATCCTTATAGTGAGACGGAACGAACTGCTATGCAATCATCATCCAGTTAAAAGTGGAGGTTCCTAGATACCCAGAATAACATTTCGTGTACTCAAATTGCTAGTATTAGCGTCTCAAGGTGGTAAAAGTATGCGAGGAAGCTTGGTCCGTAGGGATTCTGGTGGTCACCTGTTAACGGTATGGCGTTGGTTGTCAACTTTCGGCTGCCCACACCATGAAAGCCTATTTCTTTCGAGACCTGAAAATGAAGTTCGGTTAGATTTGGCCTTAGTGGTCTTGGATCCTGACTGCAGAACCCGTGGTATAACTGCTTGATAACGGCCACGCATGACCTTTTGTGAAAAGTTTTAAAGATATTAGCTGTCGTCTTCAGAAGGTCTTACAGTGGAAGACGGAAATGCCTGGAGTAAAGTCCGGGTGGACACTTTCTCTCGTTGTGAGGAGGTAGCATCTCTGCAAATGCCGGTTATCCGAAGAAAATTCCTCACTGCTATCGCAACCCTCCACAGTCAGCTGTACAACTTTACCTGCATACCTTAATTTGCTGCTTTTAGTCTTGTCGTTTTGCAACTAACCAGCATGGTATAGTAGGATCTAAAGGACCTTGTACCTGTGCCAATGCTACTCGGTTGGGTTATCTCGATAAGCAAGTGCAAACACCAAGTCAGGGTAACAGCTACGGTCAATGAATAAAAGAACTGGTTCATGTAAGGTCCTGTGTTCAGTCACTACTTGCAGCTTTGTCGATGCGCACTGTTTATGAGTCGCATACTGTGGAGAGACGGCCACCGTGTGCCTCCAGGTTTCTCACTTATGGTCTAACATTAGTTAGTTCATGATCTCAATTAAACTCAACAATATCCGAAACCCTATCATGAGGAATAGGGCCTCTGTTCATTCCAAATTCTAAAGTTTGATTTTCCAGTTACATAATTCTATCATATGCTTCTCATCTTCTTTATTCATTCAGGCAAAGAAAACGAACAAATGTTGTGTTATACTGTAAAATCCTCGTCTTTCTGATTGTCTCTGCTCACTTCCTCGATACGTCAATTGGAATCAGGTAATTAACCTAACCAACAAAAAACTTGGACTTGAAGAACTCGAACATCATTTCCACCCTAATCTCATCACCTTGTTTTCGTTCCAAAATACTAAATTATTCTTTGCTCTCTGTTTCCTTTTGTTTAACTTCAAAGTTTATCACATAATTGAACACCTGTTTATCGATATGATTATTTTTCAAATCATAACTTCCAGTCAACAATTTTTCTTTATTATATTAACTTATATCAGTAGTATAGTGTTGTACTACTAATATATTTTGGTAACGTTTGCTCTGATTTTAATATGATGATTTATTGTTGTACTCAATCTTGTCCGAACTTTACCGTGTCAGTCACTAAAGTTGCTGTCTTTGTCGACGAAAGTAAAATTGTCACAACATATTTTGTTCAATTACTGTTCTTCTATAACTGCTGAAAATGTTGAGTTTCGTAATTCGTGCATAATGTACATACATATTTATTTCAGTCATAATTTGGAATTTCGTCTACTTATATTTTGTATCTCGTATTTTGTGAATCTAACTATCAGTATAAATTCATTAATATTTAATTCAATACCTTTTTTTAAATTTTTTATCCGTAGTTCATGTTGATTCATGCTTATGTTTTATCTGTTGACTTTCAAGTTTTGGTAATCGATTTAACTGTTTGTGGTTGAGGTTTCTTCGACTTTTGAAATGTCACAAATTTCAAGATAACAAGATAATCAATAACTGAATCATATATCGCAGCGTAATAATGTTGTATTTTTTAATTTTAGGCCGTTTCTGGTTATTATCGGTCGATGGGTTTGTTATGATTTTTCTTGTTGAATAAATCAAAAATTCATTTTATTCAAACTTCCAGAACACGAACAATTTTATGCTAGTTAGCAGTGGAAAATGTTTCCAGATTTCACAATTTACAGGAATGCTGAACTGCGTTAACGAGTGATTCTGATATTTTGGCTAGGTTTACTCTTTTAGAGTGGAAAATGTATGAACAGAGTACCACAGATATCGGATACATTATTTCTAAATAGCATGCTCTCGAAATTTAGCTACATGCTCTTAACCGAAGGGTCTTGTGGGTAATTTGTGAATGCCTGTTGTATCTCGATATTGGGCCTCACTGTAGTTGAAAAATGCTAGGTCACCATGAGCCTATGTGTGAATTTAAGGCTCACCAGAACAGATAAGATACAGGAGTTTTTAATCCACAACTGACTACTCAGACTGTTGTTATTTCATTAGACCGAATCAGATAAAACTAGTTCGACTGCTAGGCTGAAAATCAATTTTCAAAGGTGATTCAAATGAAAAGTGAGTGGTACGTTATGTAACTTACTTTGGTTAGTAACGTCTGAGCAACCCTTTGAGGATATTCTTGATCACAAATCAGTACACCGCATAGATTATCATGTCGAACATAAACATGACAAATATAATCTGTACAAAAATAAGTTGCGTATGTCAGACACAAAACAAACCTTGTTCTTTAACAAGTCCGCGTTGGCAACGAGCTGTTCGTTCACAGACTAGTTTAGCAGCAAAGTCCATCACTTCTCTGACACTGGATCGCTGAAAATAACCGAAGCTGGACAGCTCATGTGAAGCTTGTAATAATTTAGCTGATGTATCAGTTTTATAAAGGATTTGTAGTGAGAACAGCTTCATCGTCGCTTGATTATACCTCGGTCTGGAAATTGGCATAGAAAATATTACAACTTCGATTATACTGATTTCCATAAGTAAATGAAAGACCGACACTTCATGGAAGAGTTTACCAATAAATGAGAAACAGTGATATTTGGAGTAGGATGCAAATAGATGTGAAACAACCAATTTAGATTGAAACTTGCCTTCTCGCAAGTGTGGATCGAAAATGCTTCACATCCATGAATACTTCTTAGTACCTTCAACAAACTGGCCATCGGTGGTACAATGTTCCCACACTACTCAGAACCAAATCGACCATATCTGTATCAACAAAAAGTTCCGAAGGACTATGGAGGATGTTAGAACTAAGAGAGGAGCTGACATGGCCTCAGATCACCACTTGCTGGTCGCTAAAATAAAACTGAAACTCAAGAAACACTGGTAAATAGGGCAGACAACATCAGAAAATTTTAATGCAGCCTCATCAATAGGTTACAGGCATTGCAAGATATACTCAATGGAGAGGAAGAAACATCGGAAAGGGATCAAGGAGGCAATCACTTCAACATGTCACGAAGTTCTGGGTCACAAGAAGTACCATCACAAGGACTGGATGTCCGTTGGTACTCTTGCAAAAATTGAAGAAAGGAGGAACAAGAGGGCAGTAATCAATGTCAGCCGAACAAGAGCAGAGAAAGTTAAGGCACAAGCTGGACACACACAAGCAAACAGGGAAGTGAAGAAGAGCATTAGAGCTGACAAACGAAAATATGTGGAAGATCTAGCAATGACGGCGGAAAAGGCTGCAAGAGAAGGAAAGTTAAAACGATTGTACGAAACAACAAAGAAGCTCGCTGGAAAATATCGTAAACCAGAACGACCAGTGAAAAGCTAGGAAAGCAAAGTAATCAGCAACATTGAAGAACAGAGAAATAGGTGGGTAGAGCACTTTAAGGAACTCTCGAATCGACTAGCTCCACTGAACGCACCCAACATCGAAGCAGCATCCACGGACCTCCCAATTAATATTGGCGCACCTACGATTGAGGAGATCAGCATGGCCATCAGACAAATGAAGAGTGGCAATCAGCAGAACCAGACAACATTCCAGCAAAGCCAATCAAAGCAGATGTGGAAGCAACTGAGAAAATATTTCACATCCTCTTCAAGAAGATTTGGGATGAGGAACAAGTACCATCAGATTGTAAAGAAGGAGACTTCATCAAAATACCAAAGAAAGGCGATCACAGCAAGTGTGGGAACTACAGAGGCATCACTCTACTTTGAATACCAGGGTATTTCTAAACAGAATGAAGGACTTCGTGGACGTTCAAATTCGAGATCAACAGGCCGGATTTCGTAAGGATCGATTGTGTACTGACCGAATTGCTACATTACGTATCATTGTGGAACAATCAATTGAATGGAACTCACCATTCTACATCAACTTCATCGACTACGAGAAGGAATTGGTTAGCGTGGATAGGAAAACACAGTGGAGGTTTGCTGGACACTATTGTGTGCCTGAGAAGATAGTCAACATCATACGGAATTCTTATGATGGATTGAACTGCGAAAGCGTGCACCGAGGTCAGCTGAAAACCTCGTCTGAGGTGAAGACCGGTGTGATGCAAGGTTGCTTACTCTCACCCTTTCTCCTGGTGATCGACTATTATGGGGACGTCAGCACCTAGAGGGGAGCTGGGTATTCAGTGGACAGCTGGACGATCTGGGCTTCGCACATGACCTGGCTCTTCTATCGCACACGCAACAACAAATGCAAGAGAAGACGACTAGTGTAGCAGCAGCAAGTCTCAACATACATAAAGGAAAAAGAGAAATTCCACGATACAACACAACATGCATTAACCAAATCACTCTTGACTGAGATGCCTTGGAGTACATATCTGTGCAACTTCATCGACAACCAAGGTGGATCCGGTGCAGATATGAGTGTGCGGATCGTCAAAGCGAGGGATGCATTTTTACAACTGAAAATTATCTGGAACTCCAAACAAATATCAATCAACACCAAAATCAGGATTTTCAATATAACTGTCAAGACAGTTACACTGTATGGAGCGGAGACTTGGAGAACTACGAAAACCATCATCCAGAAGATACAAGTATTTATGAACAGTTGTCTACGCAAAATACTTCGGATTCATTGACCAGAGATGATCAGCAACAACGTACTGTGGGAGAAAACAAACCAGATTCAGTAGAGGAGGAAATCAGGAAGAAGCGTTGAAAGTGGATAGGACACACTACGAAAAGCACCTGACTGTGTCACAAGACAAGCCCTCACATGGAACCCTGAAGGCCAAAGGAAAAGAGGAAGGCCGAGGAACACATTACGCCAAGAAGTAGAGAAAGATATGAAAAGAATGAACAAAAATTGGACAGAACTGGAAAGCGAAGCCCAGGACAGAGTTGGTTGCATAAAACTGGTGGGCGGCCTATGCTCCATTAAGGGTAACAGGCGAAAGTAAGTATGCCTTGTAAATCTTACTGTGAGTCAAATGATAATAAATTGTTCAAACTTCTGAAACCACTCTGCGCATAATAAATATCGGTAATCTTGTTTTGTATGGGTAACTGCAGTTTCTGATGCTTTCAGCAATTCCCAGACAAACTCTTGTCGAATGAGACTCTGTACACTGATAATGTGAAATGATGCCATGAAAGCCACAATTGAAAGCGAATTACGACCATTAAATATTGATTTATAGGGGTTTTTATGCGTGAAGAAAAATCGAACTTGAATTGTCAACCTGTTAAGAAGTGCAAGAAAAGATTTCTTGTTTTTGTATCCAAACGCATTGTGGTAAATTGTCTTAGATTGCTCTGTTGAAATAACTGAGAGACGATTATCTCAGAGGATGTAAGTTGTTCATAATATGATATCTATATAAGCTGTCAACCTCTAATTTCCTATCATCATAAGGTTTAATTTGGCCTTTGTAGTGTACTTCCATATCTTGGTATCAACTCCGCCTGCAACTTTGGTAAACTGCTGGTTTCATATGCAGATAAAGGACGAGGTTTCGTCATTGTTTTAGTAACCACATTTCGTGAAAGACCACGTTTCTACAAAAAACGCAATCACAGAAAGATTCATATAAACTCTGTTCACGGTATCGAAGTCATCATTCAAGAGAGTCAGAAAGTCTCATGGTGAAAGCTAAGTTTATTACGCAGTCAAAAGACCGACGCCTCATTCTGACATTCACAGCAGCATAAAACGTATTTACATGGAATGCTTGCATGATGTGGGAGACCGAAAGAACAGTTTGCTTTGCTGTGGAAACGCGAAAATATAGCCTTGTGGTGAAACTCCATGAATGCAAGCTAAACCGAAATGATTAGCTCCTAGAAAGATGCCGTTGTATTACGGCTGTGAAGAAGAAAACGCCTCATATGATAATATCGAAAAAAGTACAAGAAACACTTCTGGGATGTGAATCAACATATCCTTCAAAACATAATGAGAGGGATACGGTAAATGTCATCCAGCACTGCGCCCTTACCAACGTCAATCATAGAGGAACAACCGAGCTATTTTGATGGGAGATCTGGATACCAATGCTAGGATGAAGAGCGTCGGATGCAAAAATAGGACAAGATGATATAGATGTCATCGGACTATACTGCACTGCCATTATGAGCAGTTTCATACCTACCTTCTTGCATCTGTGTTTACGTAGGTTCAAGCAAAGCTTCTGAAATAGCCTACATGTTTTAGCAAATTCACAGATGTGAAAGTGATTGACAGCGTCGAAATTCCGGTTTTCCTCATTTTTCAATTGTGAAAAGATGACTAGTAAAATTCACGAATACTACTGTGACCTGAAAAAGAAAATACATGCTGTTCGAGCATTGTTATAGACTTTTGCAGCCTTCTAAAAAGCATCACATACTTATAGCTCTGTCAGGTCTGCTAAATTGGGTTCGGCCCTTAAGTTGGAGAATGGTCTTTTGTTCGGGTTAATCCGTTAACCGCAACAATCACGCTTCATTTAATGTATTAAATATTGGTGGTGAACCGTAAGACATAATCCACTTTTCATGTTTCTTTAGATGAACGACTATCGTCTGATGTGTTGAAGGAATAACACAAAGTTTGTAGTCACTCATTATCGCGATGTCACCTGCTTTACGAGGAAACTAGTGTTTAACAGATGAACAATATTATTATACTTCCAACAAAGCAGGTAAATTTTTGGTGTAACACAGTTATGATATCTCCAGAAGGGAGGGTCTGCTGCTTTGCTACTTGACCGTGTTCTGACTCCGGATGGCATCTTACGCTAGAATTTTCTTTGAAGCATTTGAGGTGTGGTGTACATGGCTTCAAAGGTACTGTTTTTTCTTAGTAATGATGCTCTGCTTTTTGTGATGACGTGTATGACCACCTTACTTCTCTGGTCTAGTGATGCCATTATTCTTACGTCAGATGTCATTGAAGACGCTATTCGTTTGCTTTACCAAGTGTGTGATGTAAAATGCGCTGTTGTTAGCTAAACCATTATTTTAGAGTTATGTGTTCCCGTCTATAAGTTTCACTTCGTCCATAATAATAATATAATAATATGTATTTATTCGCAAATAACTACGTTACAAGAGTCACGCCAGTTTACAGGCTAGATCTAATTGTCATAAATGCTTTCACATTTACTGTAAAAGTCATAGCACTGAAATAAGGTATAAGTGTCATTTTCTGATAGCATATTCACACCATGTCACGGACAGAAACAGTATCATACAGCCACATTTTCAACAGTAGAGTACAAATAAGGAAGGTGCACAATAGGTTTTTTTGGCGATTTGCCGAGATCAATAGCGAATTTGTTGGGGTCAATTGGAACGCGCTTGATACGAGCTGTGATCCAGACAGTCATGTACATAGGGTGCATGTTCCCTAGAGTCACCGAGGATTTCCCACCGTGAATGGGGTTCTGAAAAGTGAGAAAAGAGAGAGGGAAAAAGGCAGCAGTGTGGCAAGTATATATATATAACCAAAGCACTACTTAACCTGTCATGTTGAAGTAGTCGATACAGTGGTAAGTCAAGATAAAATTCATACTGAC